CGGGGGGAACTGCGCAAAAAACGCATCCTCGTACCGGCAGCCGGTACGCTTTCTACTAGGTTCTGAAACTGCATTATTACTGCCAAATCATCCTTGAGATTACGGGCCACAATCCAGCAAATTTTTTTTTGTGATTTGATTTTTATTCTTTTATTCTTTTGACCTGAATTATTCGAGAGGCATCCTGCCAGTATTTCCATTTTCTACCTTTCTTGACTCTTGAGTTAGAAATCGGCCCACATTTGCCATGAGTCTATAGGTCAGAAAACAAACAGACGAAAATCTGTCATCAGGTCTCTTTCACTAAGCCAGGGCTAAGTAGAAGCCCAGAATTTAGGCTTAGTTTTTCTTTGACTTTCGAATCCAGAAGAGCCCAAACTTGGATCTGTCTTAGAAGCTGATTTCAGGTCCTGGATCTCGTGCGTGGTTGAGGACTGTGTTTGAAAAATTTCAACCCCTTAGCTTTTGTAATTTTTGAATCAAATTATCCTGACACACACAAACGAATATGCATTTATAGCTTGGCCATCTTACGCTGAGCGCAGATCAAGACAGTAATGTGAAATGAGCGGAGGGGCAGTACATTCTGATCAAAGAGTCCAAAATCAACAGCAGCGCTCTAAACTGCAATAGAAAGCAAAATTTTTAGAAATTGTTAGGCACTAAAGATGGCTAGAAAACGAGTAGCGACATCGATAGGGGGAGAAAGAGCACTAGCCAAGGCACTTTGGCCAAAGAAAAACAGATTCGGAATTCATCCATGAAGTCAATAATTGTTGTTTTTGTAGCACTGCTGAAGGACTTGAGTGGAAACTTCAATCTATCATTTTATCTAATGGGGTCACTGCTAACACTGAGCGGATTATTGTGTATACCGCTCCGTAAAGTGAATTCAAATTTGTCCGCATTGCCCGGCTTGGAGCGCCGTTCCGACGCTAAATTGGAACGCTTCTAAAGGAATGTTAGTTGCTTTTTTACCATATATGAACTCGCTTTTCTAGCCAGAGAATTTTCTTATTTGGGATGATGCAAAAGGGGCGTTTGGGATAGGGGACAGAGACAGCAGGAAGGAATAGTTCTAGGAAATGTCGGTTCTGATAAATCTAGCAACTTTTTGAAACTGTATGATGAAAAATGTTTTTGTCTGTCACCATTTCAATCAAGAAACGTTAGTAACATGTGTTTTTTTAGGCTGCTGTTTTATTGTCGCTCAACCCTCTTCAATGGCATAGTGAGCAACTGTTCTAACGTTGCTGCAACCGAAGCTGCATCACCTGTTGGTCAATCAAGTGGTGGTCCTGGCGTTCAGCACTGTGCCTTCATTCTTCCGACGAGAAATGACGGATACTGTAAAAACCCATCCGCCGCCTGAATATTCCTTCAGCTCATCCACTTTCCTTTGTGATGTTTATGTGCTTTTTTTTTTTACTTTTACGGCCTTAATTTATGAGACCTTAGTTACAAATTTAGCTTACTCTGTGTGTTCTAAAAACACATGTTCTTTGGATTAAACGCAAAGAATAAACCATATAGGAGGAGTATGTGTTAGCTTCAGTCTGGCTGATCATTTAAATGAGAGGCGCACGAGAGTACTCGTTTTTTGAGGCAAACCCACTTGTCGCATTTTGCTCATCACTACTGTGCACCCGTTATGTAATTTTTTTGGATCGTTTTATGTACAATATCGTTTATGGAACGAAAAATAAATGATTACTTAAAACCGATTTCTTAAAGCACATACATCCATACTAATGATTAGTTCAGCTCCTAAGAAAGTAATAGCAATATAGAAACATTGAATGTTGACACTTTTCGGTTTAAACGATGCTGAGACCCAATTTTCATACTTTTTTTCGTCCGCTTCAATTAAAGCTACAGTTTCTTGCTACTAGGCCAAATTCTATTAGTTTTTTGCCGATTTTCTGTACCTGTTCTAGCTAAATTTGTTCCCCAACTGTTTCTACCACATTTTTTATCACATTTAGATGACACCGATACATCCTAAACATAGTTCTGAGAACAACTGCGTCTTTTTTCTAAAGCGCTACACAAACACATATAACACAGACAAATCCTGTACTTGGCTGCTCGTTCTAAAACTCCGAAAAATATAAGTTTTTTAGCGCAACATGATTAGTAAAACCCAGGCTGGAACGCACCAGGCAAGCCGGTGCGATCATGCGTTTCCCATCAAACTTGAAGTAATTAAGTTAACTGCATGAGTGGTTGTTTCTCACACCTACCTTGTACGCTCAATACCGTGAATCATCGTAAATTTTGCATAAACGAAAACAATTTCCGTTTAGCAGTCGTGTTTTGAAAATGACCCAGCTGCACAATGAGTAATTTTCTCGCCAAAAAATTAATACCCGTACGCGAGATCCAGGCGTACCTGGAGGCTGAATTTGAAACCTTTAAATTGTATTTGGAAGGGCAATATTCCCCTAAAATCTCAGCTTTCAAGCTTTTCTAGTTCCCGAATGAGCAATTTTACCGCCATGACTTTCACAGGGCCTCGCGTGACCTAGGGCATACTTAGGGGCTGGGTCTGGAATCTCTAAGTTGTGCGTGGGCTGGGAAGATCCCTTTAAAATTTCGGCCTTGCAGCTCCCTTGGTTCCCGAGTTATTCACTTCCCCGCCAAAAAATTTTAGCGGGCCGTACGTGAAGACCATGAATTTGATAAATTTACCATGCCTGGGGCTGGATTTGCACATGGGCGGGAACATTCCCTTAAAGTCTCAGCCTCCTAGCTGTTCTGGTTCCCAAGATAGCGATTTTCCCGCCAGGGACCCTCACGGGGCCGAACGCGGAAGCCACGCACAACTGAGATCCGAATTTGAAATCTTAGGGTTCTATGTGGACGGGGAACATAATCTCAAAATTTCAGCTTTCTAGATTTTCTCGTTTCCAAGTTAGCAATTTTCCCGCTAAAATTTTCACGCGCTCGCAGGCGGGGCCCAAACATGTCTGAGAATTGGTATCGCGGTCCTGGTATGGTACTTGGCCTGGGAGCCCACGGGCAAAATTCTGCCACCTGAGCTTGCTTGGTTGCTGAGTTGAAATACCCGGCCAGACGAACACACACACATATATACACAAGCATACACACGCATACACACAGATAGAGTCGTCGCAATGTACGTTTTTGCAATTTGCGTATAAGCAAAAACGCATAACAAATGAGTATGGCAAAGGAATGTATAACATCTCTCAACGTATGATGCAGTCTACAGAAATAGCGGAGAGGTTATGACAAATACCTTTTTTTCAACAATAAATCATCGCAAAATTCGATAAACTAATTTAAAAAAAGTGCTTTTCACCAACTGCATCCATGTAAGTGAAATCAGCATCATTGTTATTTCTCAGTTATGCACTGATGCGTGTCTCAAAAACGCATCACTGAAAGGCTAGGGTGTATGTATCTGTGAGATCGAATAATTCAGCCCGGGACTGCTTTTCCAAGCGAAGGCGTCAAATCAAAAGTTAATGAATTTATAACAGGGAAATACCGAGAGGAAAGTACACCCAACTTTGCTCAAATGGACATTCATATCCTTAATAAAAATGAAACGGCCTTTTTTTGATAGTGAGTCCACAAGAACTGGCCGGAAGGTCACCGAGGTGAACGGTTGTAGATAAAAAAATAATCTGTGTAGCAAATGCAAAAATGATCATGAAAATAACAGAATTCCATTTAAAATAACGTGGAAGAACAGTAGGATGCGAACGACAGTTTCGATTTGCTGCACGCTAGCACAGCCAAGAAAGGCTCTGTCGTTCGCAGAATGTGCATATGTATAACTCAATGCCGCACGGTACATAATCAAAATGAACGTTTCCGCAAATACAACTGTCGCCATTCGTGCTGGAATTGAATTTCCTTGAGCTGTTCATAACAATTTAAATTTAAGTTCGCTACTGAAAGCGAGGTAACGGGTGTGGCGCAGTGGGTAACTGGTGCCACTCTCATGCCAAAAAGTACTTCTTAATACATCCTTTTTGGCTAATTTTTGCACTTTTTCGCCCTAATGTATCAAAAGCTTCCATCAAATTTTTCTTCCAATTCTCGATTTCTCAGCGGTGGTTTTGGCATTCCCTCACTGCTATTAAAATCAAGGTAATGGGCATGGCGTCACGTTTGGAACGCCACTGATGTGGGCTGTGCAAATTTTGTGTGCTACTTACAAGAAATTTTTGCGTTAAATTTTTGAATTTTAAGATTTAAAACTAGAATTTTGTTTGTTTCTCACCACAGAAAGGAGTATTCTGTTGATCGGGTGGTATTCTACTCAACATTTGCGTATAATTCAAAATTTGTGCCGCAGTGCATAACAGGAGCCATAAAAGAGAACTCGATGCATCTGTAACTGTAGCCGCCATGAATGTTATTCTGAAAGCGATATTTGTTATCTCCGAAATACAGGAAAAACTAAATGTTGCGTTTAAGAAAATTATATTCTTGCGACCTCTAAAGCCAGCTGTGCGAGAGTGTTAGCTTTGTGATTTGTAACGACTCGATTTTGGACCTCGCAACGCTGAAACCAGGTGCATTGCCCTGAGCCTAAAAAGTGTAAATAACACGAAAATAAAGTTAGTACCCTCTAACGCTGTCAGTGACATTGCCGAAGTGACATCTAGTTCGTCTAATGAGGCCAGTATCAACAGGCAACACCAGGTTTTATGCATTCGCATCATCCAGATTTAAAAGCCAAGCTCTTCTATGGCATGAAAATCGAACTAGAATCATGTTATAAAAACAAGAATGGCAGGATAAACTCACGTTGCCAGGCAAAACAGTGGTAAAGCAACTGTTAACAAGTAATAATAAATGGCTCTCCGAAATCTGATTTCGAAGCGTATTATCGAACGCATCATTTCTGGTCGCTCACTGTAAAAAACGTAGCAAAAGTGAACCATTTCCAAATTTCTAGAAAAATTATATGACGAAGTTGTGTACCAGTTTGAAAAACCTAGGTGAATGGAAGAGTATTTTTTAACGGTCTCAAATAAAAATCATGTCGTAAAATAATTTATTGCCACCTAATATGCACCTAAAACTGTAAGTCACTGTCAAGGAAGAATTCTCAATCGACCTCCTCCAAGAAATCGAAAAAACACCATGCAGTATCATCGGTGTGTATGAAACAGAGCAAAGGATTGACTGAATACGCTGGAAGGATGACAAAATTATTTTACCCGACACAGGAGAAAGACTATAGAATGTTAGCGAAGTCGAGCTCATCTTTAGGAAAAAGTGGTTTCCTAGACTGTCCTTCGTCAGTCTCGCTTGCTACGAAATGGCGTACTCCTTGATATATCAGATTCCAGCAACATCAAAATCATTTAAGTTTGTACTCCCATACTAGCGAGTGATGAAGTTTACTAGAGAGTACATTTATGACTCTATAATGGTATTACTGATGCCGGTCTTCTGGAGCAACTTCACTCCTTATCAAACTATTCGTTCAGGTCTTCATATGCGTTCGTTCTGGAACAACAGAGGCCATAGACTGACACTGGCAACAGGAGCAATAGAGGCGATAGACTTGCAACGACTGCGAAAGTGGACAAACTGATGATAATAGCTGGCAGCTGAACGATCCAAGACGGAAATACATTTGGTTTGTGTCAAACGCAATTTCTGGATGAAATTCAGCTTACAAGATCAAAGGAGAAAGTATACTCTTGGAGGTAATAATGCCAGCACAGGAGGCGAATGAGGCTGAAACCCAGCCGTGTCTTATTAGCACTAAGCGTGCCGCATTAACAGTCTAGTAAACCCTATCCATTGAAATAAATAATAACACCTAACTAGGAAAAAAAAATAAAAAACCGACGCGCTTTCATTTGCAGTGATCTTGCCGAACGGAAGAATGAAGAGTGGTACAGCGGAAAGATTAGCAACTTCAAATTCGCCAAATCTGATCGGCCCGGGTTCATTCAGCAAGCTACCAAATATGTCTGATCGCTGTGTCAGCGACGTCCACTTGGAAAATTTCATTCTAAACGTGAAGAATGCTTTAAAAATTTGGTTAGATAAAGATTGGAGGAACTCTCGATGTGTGATTTCCAAATTCTTGTTCAGTTTGAATCTTAAAATAAGTAATGATAATTTGAACAGTCATAAACAGCTACGACTGATAATTGTCTATTTCAAAATAGAGTGCTGTGAGGTAAATGAAGGGCATTTGAAAGGCAAACCATTCTTTCGGCTCGTGAATCCGCAGGTTTCTCTCACTTCCTAGCTAGAGTAAAAGAAGAGAGTTGACGATTTTGTTAACTAATAACTAGCGACGCGCCCCAAGATAGCCGGTGCGATCATGTGTTTTGCGCAGTTTCGCCCAGCGAACGATTGCCTGCTAAGAATTTTCATTGCTTATGCGTTTTGGCGCATATGCAAATGCAAAAATGCGTGTATGCAAGGACGCATAAACAATGAAAAATTGTTTATGACCCATGGTGTGTGTATATATGTTAATGTGTGTGTATGTGTGTGCGTATGTATGCGTTTGTCCGGTGTTTCAACTCGGCAACCATGCAAACCCTGGCGCCAAAATTTTGCAGACGGGCTTCCAAACCAAGTGTCATCCCCAGGACCGCGGCACCAACCTCCAAGCACATCTGGACTCCGCGTACGATCACAGGGATGTTTTAGTGAGAAAATCGCTAACTCGCGAACCAGAAAAGCTGGGAGACTGGAATTTTATGGGGATGTTCCCAGCCCACGGACAATTTGAAGATTTCAAACTCAGCCTTCAAGTGCGCGTCGTTCACACATACGGTCCCGTGAAAATTTTTGGCTGGAAAATCGCTAACTCGGAAACTATAAAAGCTGGAAAGCTGAAATTTTGATGGAATGTTTCCCATCCACGAAGAACTTAAAGATTTCAGTTCAGCCCCAGGTCTCGTAGTTCTCACTTACGGGCCTCTGAAAATTTATTGGGGGAAAATCGATAACTCGGTGACTAGAGAAACCGGGCGGATGAAATCTTAAGAAAATGTTCTCCGTCCACCTAGAACTCAAAGATGTCAAAATCATCCCCCAGGTGTTCGTGGTACTCAAGTATGGGACCGTGAAAGTTGCCAACTTAAGAACCAGGAAAGTTGGAAAGCTGAAATTTTCGCAGAATGCTCCTTATCCAAGTACTACATACTTGCACAATTAACTTCCTGAAGTTCGTGGACCAGTATGTCACAAATACAAAATTCTAGCCAGTGGAATTCCGAGCGATCTTACTACAGCACAAAATACTGCAAAGCACATGATCACACAAGCCCGCCTAGTGCGCATCACTAATGATTTACAATTTGGTCTGTGCAAAAATAGTCGATGTGCTGTTTGGTACTTAAGCTATGAAATTTTCCGTTAAAAATTTCATGTGCCGGTACGTGAAATGCAAATGCACGCGAAACCTGAATTTGAAATCCTGGGCGACGAATATTACTCCAAGACTTCAAACTCCTAGTTCTCCGGTTGTCGAGTAACTTTCGCACCAACACTTCCGCGTGGTTCTGCGCGAAACTTCGTCACGCTTGTGAGCTAAGTTTGAGTTTTTTAAGCCGCTGCGTAAACAGAAGAGGTCTTTTTGAAATTTTCACCTTCCTTGCTCTTCTCACTCCCGAGATTTTTCCTCTCGGAAATTTTCACGCGACCATACGTGGTACCCAGGCAAACTGGAAAGCTGAGTTCGAATTTTCTGCATCGTGTGTAAGCAAGGGGCATTATTGTAAAACTTTAGCCTCCTAGCAATCGTGATTTCCGAGATAGTAATGTTCCCCGCCGAAAATTTCACATGGTCACATGCGATACCCGAGCAGGTAGGGCTTAATTTAAATTTGCTGGGTAGCACATTCCACCAAAATTTCAGCTTACCTGTTTCCGTGGTTCCCGAAAGAATGATTTTCCTCGCCAAAACTTTTGCGGAGTCGTATGTGGTACCGGGAAATAAGTGAAGGCTGATTTCTAGTTTGCGAATTCGCAAGTGGGCAAAGAAAGTCCTTCTAAAATTTCAGCTTCCTGGCTTTTGTGGCTCCCGAGTTGAAAGTGCAAGACAAAATGCACAAAAACACACAAACACACACACACACACAAACACACACACAAGCACACACAAGCACACACGCAAAGACGTAACAGTATGCGTTTTGTCCTGCTGTTACACAATGCAAAATGCATGAAAATTGACTTGTCTACAGGCGAGGCGTAAACGCACGTGAAAAATCATTTTTGCTTGCAGATCAACATACTAATAGCAAACAACCCAGCGAAATTAAAGCTTTCTGCTTGGACTGGTTTCCAAGGTCAGTTTTTTGACTATTTCTCGAAATCGTTGTCAGCCACTTTATTTTTGAAATGTCCGTACAACAGATGTTTTTTGAACTGAATGTTCATTTTGGGTCTGGAAATTCGCCCATGATAATGGAATGAGTTACCAAAATTTTAGTTTCGTGGCTTTTATAAATCTAGAAATCAAAATGCGAGGACAGAAACACAAACACACGCAGCATGCTCTCGACGATTTGCGCTTTTGCATTTCATCATAGATACAAAAAGGTATAAAAAAGGCTAGAGGAGAGTGTTCGGTAGGCTCCTACCGCATACATTATTACGAACATGCAATTTCCGATGATTCTTTATTTCAAAACCTCAGTATTCATGTATTTTAAAAATATAACTTTTTATGAAATTTGCACACCGTGACATTGGTAGTGGTGTGAACATGGTGAGCAGGCAACTTTGTATGTCGTTCGGATAAGCCGAAAAATCCAGTAAACATGTCGAACGAACAGTCAATACCACCTAAAGCAGTGTTATTTTGTTCTGAATCGCGACAAAATAGTGCTATTTTCGTTGAAACAGCGAAACAACAAATTGGACGACTAAAGCTTTCAAGGCACCAATTTCATTAACGAAAAACACTTGCATTTAAAAAAAAAAATCCGTTTTCATGAAAAAAATGTCGTTACAAAATTTCGCGGGTAATACTTTCCAATTCCTTTCTTTAAAGCTTTTGTTAGTATCTCCTCAAAACCCTCGCCGACTACTAAGTTTTGCTTTCTAATTGATTGCTCACTTAATGCTCTTTAAATTTGACTAGCAGATTATCGAATTTAGACTAAGGACATTAAAAATTAGTTAACAGCAAATTGTTCAGTCAAACTTTTGAGACAAATTGACCTCTGTGTAAAAAAATCATGAAAGTAAATGTTTTCGTAAGTGCTCTCGGAAATTTACGATACTGAAATGCTGTCTAACTAGGCAGCTCAAATCCAACTGCTCAAACCATCAACCACAATTGATGAACATACCTGTGCATAAACAGCTCCGTTGCTGATCAGTGTTACTTCAGTGTTAAAATACTGCATTGCTTGATCGCTTCGTAACTTCCTAGATTTTTATTTTATGAATTCTTTTCGTTTTCCTGTTTGATGTCATCAAAAAAAAGTGAGAAGGTGAATTATGAAAGGGCTTTATTTTTTCTTTCGTTTGTACTGTTAAAGAAGAAGAGTGGTCACCCTCCGCCCATGCCACTGTAAGCTAACTGAAAAAAAATGTTTTAAACAGGTGTCTAGTAACACGGTGGCAGGTAATGAGAGATAACTTAAAAACAATAGAGTCAGAATTTTTAATGAAAAAAATTTTTTAAAAAATGTTTGGTAAATATTCAGAAATACGCATAAAAAGCGCTCCATTAATTTGTTTTCTGTTTATAAATCTAGTAAACAGATGCAACAGAAATTTGAGAAGTAAAACTTATCATAATTATAAAATCCAGGCTGGAAAGCACCAGGCTCTCCGGTGCGATCATACGTTTTTGCATCAAACTTTGAGGTACTCCATCAAATTTCCCTGCCCTTGCCCCACCCCTGCACTCGCTGTTTCCGCCCCTCCCCTTCCCTCGCCCCCGCCCTGGACGTCCATCTCCTCGAAGCGGTGATATTGTGCGACATTATGCAGCACAATTACAAAGCGGATCCTGTGAGCACGGTAAGATGAGAGATATGTGACCCACGGCCCCCCGCTGAGCGGTCTAACGCTGCTCAGTGGTGGCAGCGTGGGCGGGTGCTGATGAATGGAATGGGGCTGTGCGTAATGTTAGGTTGTTGGCCGGCGTTGCGGAGAGAGGAGGGGGAGGGGGAGTGTTGGGGAGGTGTTCGGTGTTGGAGGAGGGGTCGGTGGTGGTGGACGGTCGGTGTTGGAAAGTGGCCGGTGTTGGGGACGCTCGGTGTTGTGTGGGGCGGCGTTCTTTCGGTTCTCGTTTGTATTTGGCATTTGCAGATGTTGGAGGAGGGGGCGCCTTCTGCGATTGCTCTGGAAGAGGGATACCGTAGTATTTTGTGCAGGATAGGAACAGCGATGTCCCTCTTAGAACAGCCATGGCACCCGTCTCCTACGAACAGCTGCGTAATCCACATCTCGGAACAGCCACGGGAAACGCCTGCCTTAGTGGGCTCAGGTAGCAACTGTTTTACTATAGAAAACTGATTTTACCGGTTTTAGCAGCCGGTTTATCGGTTTTTTGCCTGAAGTGCGCTCGTTTTTCCGATAAGTGCTCGTTTTGTAAAAAAATGACAAATGCAAATTTTTTGAAAAAATGCGAATTTCCAGTTCACTGAAAAGTGAAAGTATTGCTCGAGTGGTCCTTTGGCAAAAAAAAAAAAAAACATGTATGCAAATTAACTAATATCATTTACATACACCGTTGGGTTTAGGGCCGAATTGCGATAAATTTTTTACGATTTTTGAGTTCAGGAGCTGCTTGAGGTCCTGGTTGGGGTGCTCGATAGTTGAATTTCTTTCGCACGTGCATAGAGAATATCCCTGCAAAGTTTCAGCTTTCTACGTTGCCTGGTTCGCGAAA